ACAAATCAGCTTATTTAAATATTATATATGAGAGTCCTGAAACACAAAAGGCTGTTTTTCATGTTAAAGATAAGGAGTTTACACGGCTCCTAGCTGCGGCAAAAAAATCTATTAGAGAGAAGAATGGGAACAGTTCCAAAGGGATTGTGAAGTTAAGAGTTAATTAATTAATACTTGTATGGAAAGTCACATTTTTATCTATTGCTTCATTTGTCTTAACCAGTAGCTGTAGAAGATGTTTTTCTGGAGCATTTTTTTGCCATATTCCTTAAAATGCTCTTAACATGATGATGGCAACTAAATTAAATATCTTTTATATATTCATTCTGTGTTTTTCTTCTGAATACATTTAAAGTTCTTTTTTTCAACTCAGAAAGATTTTTTCTTCCTTGCTGACAGTTTCAATCCCTCCTGCGATCTTCATCAGAGCTAGCCGCTAATGGCGGCGTCACTTCCCTCTCCGCTTATCCGCGGGCAGCAGGAACCATGAAAAGAGACGATGGGGCCTACACATTAGATCATGCACGGAACTGTGTCATCAATTAGGAGAGCACGGGCAGCAGAGGGCGATACCGTCCTCTGCTGCCCGCAGATAAACGGAGAGGGCAGTGACGCCGCCATTAGCAGCTAGCTCTGATGAAGATCGCAGAAGTGATCGAAAATGTCAGCAAGGTAAAAATCTTATTTGTGTTTAAAAAAAGAACTTAAAAATGCAATTAATTAAATGTTTTGTCAACAAAAGAATAATTTGAATTGCCTCTGAAAGGTACAATCCTGTAAAATTCACATTCAATCATTGTGAACGTCCCGTTACGATTTGATCCGGATCCATCTGCCAAAATGTCCTCTGACCTCCCCTCCCTTCTCTATGTGCACAAATCATCATCATCATCATCATCATCATCATCATCTATTTATTCATTTGTTGCACCTTTTTACCAGCAGTCAAGGTGGCCCAAAGGGCTTATTCTCAAGCCAAACAATATAAAAACATATTAAAACATAAATCCAGAAAATATTGAAATAACACAAATAAAACTAACTATGTTACAAAGTTGTGCAATAAAAACAATAAAAATCCAAACCTAAAAACAGTGGCCTTTGTTTGCTCTGCAACATTGACATTTTATCTCCACAAATAACCCAAGCCTGAAGGAGTTCTGCTGTGTTGTGGAGTTGCTAATGCTAATGGTTAGCTTCTGCTTGCAAGATGTGCTCTGCTCTCTCCTGGACACTAAACGACAGCCTTCCCCCGGTCACAAACCAAGATGGCTGAGTCCATGAATGCTAGTTTTACAGTGGGAGGTAAATCTGACTGGCTTTTCTAATTCGAGCATTTCCCTGCCAATTTTCTTTCAGTGGCTAATGCAGGAAATAAGTTTAGAGGGCTCTTTTGTTTTACACAGTTTAGTAAAAAAATAGTTTTTCACCTTATATATTTCGGCTGATGCCTCTAGTCATCAGAGTCGCCGGTGTTGATGACGTCATTTTCGCGGGCAGCAGAGGACGATGTCGCCCTCTGCTGCCCGCGTTCTCCTTGCTGGTGACGCTGTCCCATGTGTGATGTGAATACTCCATCGTCTCTGTTCATGATTTTGTGTCCACCTCTCCTTTGTTAATAATTTCTTTGATCCATCTTTTGTATTTTTGTTGTTATGATCCGTGCGCTGTCCCAGTCCATTAAACCATTCTCCCTTGTGCGGTTTTCTGTTACGGCTGATTTCTTTATTGTACTTTCAGCGTCTTGTTTCACTGTTCTTGTGTGTCTTTGGCTTGTTTTCCTCTCACACTCTTTGATGTTCTATTTTTCGTGTGTTGAGTTGGCGTCTGGTTTCTCCAACGTATGTTTTACTGAAGAGTTTGCAAGTATTTCTTATATGACTCCACATTTTTTATCTGACGATATATTTTCTTTTGGGTGTACCAGTCTTTTTCTAACTCACATGTGTGGTTTTGTTGGCTTGTTGATATCATGTTTTTGCATCGTTGTTATTATTCTTTCCATTATGCCTTTGATATATGGAAGGGTTATTACTGCTTTTGGTTCTAGTCTTTCTGTATTCTTGGTTCTTCTTACTGGTTTGTTTTTACTTTTCTATTTTTGTTTGTAGTTTTCCTTTTTTTATTGCCCATGTTGGGTATCCGCAGGTTTTAAATGCACTTTGTATGTGTTGGTCTTCTAGTTTACGATCTTTTTCTTCTGTTATTATATTTGCTCTGTGGTATAATGTTCTGATAACTTATTTTATGTTCCGTCTGTCTGCCTGGTTATTTTAATGCCTTTTTCTTCTTCATGTGTAAATTTTATGTTGTTGATGCGAGAACGACATCGTCCTCTGACCACCAGCACTGGCCCACTCTGATGATGACTAGAGTAACTAGCCGAAACATGTGAGTGAAAAGAAATTATTTTACTAAGCTGAGTAAAAAAAGATTATGAAGTCACACAGAACAAACGTACAAAAGATAAGACTATTTTCACTTTCAGCCTGGATGTGAAACTTAGAGTGACCAATCGTATTTCCAAAATAACAAGTAAAATCTGTTTGTGTTATCTTGGTCTTTAAAGACGTGTTTGCATGACTCAAACTCTCCTTTTCTGGGTTGTGTCCTTCAGTTATGCTTCAGTAAGCGTGTAGAGCCGTCTCAGAGACTGACAACAACTTGGGGAAAATGCTGAATACGTTATGAGACGACTCACAGTGACATGACAAGCAGAAACATAGTCTCTTTCTCCCTAATTTTTTTTCTGTCTGCAACTCATAAGACGTGGTGCGACCAGCCCTGAGCCCCACCTCACTGATCAGCAGCCTGTAATCCATCACACTTAAAACTCAAAAATGAAATTTCTCTGAGGTGATTCATGGCCCTCGCTGAGGTGAAAACGATAAGAACAGGGTTGTTTTTCTTTGCCGATTGGTATTCCATCAGTCTTTACAGTCAAATCATAATCTCATCGTCTCGTCGTCCAACGACACGGTCAGGTTACTGAGCATCACCCCACTGGGCCAAAAACCACTCTGTTCTTTGTTCCAAGGTTATGTAATTCACTTCAAAGCCTCCTAACATTTATATCATCCACGGCTTCGGGACTGAGCGCCCAGAGTTGGGAGCTTTTCCCGACAGCATTTCAGAAAGATCCTTTAAACATTTAAGCTCCCGGTGACAACTTAAGAAAGAGCTACTCATCTGAAAAGGAGGTGCCAGAAACAGGTCATATTATCAATTTGCACTTATGAAGTAACACATTTCACGGAAAATAATGCAGTCCTGAAATAGTCTTTAGCTGAAAGAAACAAAAATACAACACCTGCATGTCAAAAAATGAATAAAAGCAAAGAATTACTGAACAGTCTTCAAGGATTTTTGTAGGGCGGAAAGAAAAGGTGTGACAGGAACGCTGTGCCCATTTTAGCAAACAAGTGAGACATTTTAGGAATGTGGATGTGATCTGCAGTTTCAGTCTGTGCCTGTTTGTCATGCTAAATGGCCAGTATTTGACATGGCCTTCTCAAATTCAAAAATACTTTATTAATCCCAGAGGGAAATTAGAGTCCGGGAGTCCTGGAACCCCCCAAGGTGCTTTACAACACAATCAGTCATTCACCCATTCACACCCTGGTGGTGATGAGCTACATTGTTGCCACACCTGCCCTGGGGCACACTGACAGAGGCAAGTCTGCTGTACACTGGTGCCACCGGTCCCTCCGAATACAGCAGGCAAGGTGGGTTAAGTGTCTTGCCCAAGGACACAACGAAAGCGACTGACTGAGAGGAGCTTGAACTTGCAACCTTCCAATTATGGGAGCGAGGACTTAACTTATGATTGGGATGTGTGTCAGGATGGAATTGTAACGGATTTTCTATAATATAGACCGATTTATCGGTTGACCAATGAATCAGGCCGGTATTTATCGTTTTGATATTTTTCTGTATTGGTCGATATTTGTCCTTTGTAAAGCTGATTTAAAGACAGGAGCATCCTCGAACAGCTCGGTACGTTTGCAGGGTTTATATTGAATTTTACATTCACTAATCTGCATAATAAGTACTTAATGTAGGCACAAAGTTTAGATTTTACAATGAGTTAAATTCAGAGTTCAAAAACAGATACTGCTCAAGAAATTTTGTGCATCAAATTATGTTATTAGTGACATTTTAGCTGGACAAAAGAGAGAAAATATCTGGATATACTGTAGGCTAAGAAAATCAGCCCATAAAATTTGGCAGTTCATACCAGCCATTGAGCTGAGCATGTTTTCTACATATCGGCATCGGTATCGACAAAAGAAAAAACAATATTGGTCGACCTCTAATTTTAACCTTCCCCTTATTTTTACAAAATGTCCATTTTTTAGTAAACTACAGAAAATGTCAGTGAGTAATTTGATAAGAAATAAAAAAGCGATTGAACTGCTCATATATTATGCAATATAGTACATGATGTATATTTTAAATTGTGTTTATTATGACAAATATTTCAGCTGTAGTATTTAGTTAAAAATTATAATTCGCATAAAACCAACAGAAATTGCAAAAACTGACCAGCTGTCAGAAATAAATTAAATTCGTTATTTAGATGATTTCTTGCACATCTTGCATTTGAAATGCAACGATGGCAAAGAACTGCAAGAAAAGGCTGAGTAAAATGATTACAATTAGAACTTTGTGCATTTATCTCATTATAAATGTAATTTCACTGAGATAACAGGTGGACACGCCCACTTATTTTAAGCAGGAATCCTCAATAAATGATGCCCCACTGATACCGCCATTTGAATAAACACACACACATATATATAAACAGTGATGGATGTTAATTTTAGGGGTTGGATTCCTCCTTGTGCACGTGCATGAATAAAACGCGTCCAAATAAAATCGTTTAACGCTTTTTGCAAATTTCTGATTTCTGGACACAAAGACGAGTCTTTTCTCTCCAAAGCGCCTTAAAGAATAAAAACACCCCCATGCAGAAGCTGGAATGAACCAGAAGCACTAACCTGTTGTTATCAGAGGAGCTCCGGAATCCTTCAGCCACGCATCTCCATTCCGCCTGATGCGACGCGTTTTTTCAGCCAAACAAGCGCAGCGACGAACGAGACGCGTCCCGCAGCCCGCAGAGCTCCTCAGATCAGAAACTGGAAGAAAACACCTCAGTGATGATTTTTCTGTCTGTGCTGCTGGCTGAGCTCGGCAGACCTCACCCCTTCGCCACTCGGCTGTCTGATTACCCTCCCCAAAAACGGAAGTACCCTGTCGCTACTGGCAACCTGTTGCCATAGCAATCCTCCAGGTGGGCATCACACACTGAGTGGAAAGGTGTGGTCCTGGAGCTCAGACAACTCAGATTTTAGTTTAGATTAAAAGAAAAAATAAATTAAATATCAGCTAATTTTCAATAAATTAGACTAAATTAAAATGTTAGAAATTTGAAATAAAGCAATTTTCTCCTCAGAAAATAGATGATATTGATATTTTTAGTCACATTTATAATGGTTTTTGACTGAGTGTGTGCATAAAATTGCACAAGATGAAACTAAAACTATAATAATTAACTATCAGCTGATTATTTGTTTGAATCAATATTTCTGGTAAATTAAAGATGACCAGGCCACCACTGCCACTGAGCATTGTGATCCACTGACTGTTTGAAAAATTGTATTAAAAATTTGCCTTTTTATTGTTTAAGTCTGTCTGACTCCAGAAAACATCACACCAATGGTTAACATTTCAGAAACTAACCAATAATCATCTCAACCAATCACTTCAATTTGTTGATTTGTGGATGTTGAACTGTAATTTTGTGTGATCTGAGCTGAGTCACCGCAGTCACACTGTAAAATTTTTACCTAAAGCTAAAGCCACCAAGGATAAACCTCAACTAAATCATGGTTTTAGGCTCACAGACGCTGAGCTGCTCTTTCATGTGGGTGCTAACTGCTAACAGATCATGCCAGAGCTCTGATTTTGCATGACTAACAGATATAACTGCATCAAGAAAATATGTTTTTAGTTAAACCTCTCTCATGAAACTCAGCAATGTCATGTGGACTGCAGACTCCCTCAGAGACCTGAGAGGATGCGAAGGGGTCAGGGGTGGGGTGGACCGATGTATTGCCTGATATATCGGGTCGATATTTACAGTTTTTCAAATATCAGCATCGGCCAATTTTTGCCCTTAGTAAAGTTGATTTAAAATCAGGCACATCGTTGGGCAGCCTGGTGCAGTTGCACAGTTTAATTTAAATGTATTTTTATGTTCACTAATAACATCTGCATGATACAATGGCATCTTAGCATGAAAATAAGGTGGAAAACGTCTACATATCAGCCATTAAAACTGGCCCATAAAAATCGGCAATACATGTCGGCCATCAGCTGACCATGTCTCCTAAACATCGGTATCAGCAATAGAAAAAAACAATCAGTCGACCTCCAGTCAAGGGTCAGAGGTCTGTGCTCAGCAGTTTGGAGAACCAGAATTTTTAAAACACTGTACAGTCATTGTGCATAAGTTGGGTTGCATCTCCACCTGGTGGAGCTGACCTGAAACTGCATGTCACACATTATTTGCTTTGCTCACTAACAACTTTACCAGCCTATTATGAATGATCACTGTAAACAGCTAATAAAATCCAGCTAAATACAAAAATAACATTGGCTAAATGCTTATGTTTACATTGAGAATATCCATTTATTTCAGTAATTCATCTTAGACTGAGAAACCATCTAAAGGCTCAGGAACCCTTTGCAGGTGTTTTGGATTCATTAGCTGATTAGAGTGAGACACTTTGAGCCTATAATATTCAACCTTTTAACACAAACTGTACGCCATAATAATCACAATTATAACAAACAAAGGCTTGAAATATCTGGCTTTACATGGAACGAGTCTGTCTCATACACAGTTTAGGATTCATCACTGAAATAAATGAACTTTTGCAACATATTCAAAATTTTCAGGAACTGCTTGAATTTGTGATTTTGAAGACGTATGACTGTATGAGTTTACAATCTGAATGAATGAATGAATCCTTTATTGTCATCATACAAAATGACAGTTCCAGCTGCTGCCACGCTGCATCGTTTCTTGTTTTGCTCTAGTTTTTCTGGCGGATGAGTCAAATTTTTAGCCACTGACTGGATATTTTTTTGTCATGTTTTTGTCACTGATGACTGAAACAATTTCAGCTCATCTCAGAGCCCCCACAGGCCAAGTCACCACCCTGTGCTTCACATCACTTCTCCATAAGGGTGCGCAAGCCTTCTAGGGGCCTTATAGGCGAGGAACTAACTTCTTCCTTTTGTTAAATGTGTTTCCAATTTACCAACAAAAACAACATTAGGAACATATTTAGGCACAGGAGGCTGCATCTAAGCTGAATATTTTGTTTAATTAATTCTGGGTCATTTAGCTGATCTGAGGCAGAGATGTTTGTGCGAAAGGCAAAAAAGATTTCAGCCTCATTGTAAAATTAGGTTCCAACTTCAAAGTGAGTTCATCACATATATAAACTTAATGCCTTAGGGTGTTTTATTAGTAGTTAAGCTAAACAGGTGCAATAAATCTGTTGCAAATGTTTTTTTTTCTATTATGCATAATCACTATAAACAAGCTGGACAGAGGTCTATACTGCAGTGGTTCTCAATCCTGGCACTGAAGAGTCGATGCAGCTCGTTTTAGTTGTTTCTCTGCCCCATTTGCACTTGATTGAGTGGCTGAATCACCTGTTAAGCAGCTCACCGGGCTCTGCAGAAGCCTGTTAATCACCTGCTGATTGAAAAGAGGGTTAAAACTAAAAGATATTGGATACCAGCCCTCCAGGTCAAGGGTTAAAAACCACTGGTCTAATGGGTCTGCTCATAGGGCAAACTTTGCCTGCCTAAAGCAAAGCAAACGCCAAAGTGACACAAATTGCAGTTCCACTTTCATCCACTAGGAGCTGGATCCAGAAAGGAGCAAGTTTCCATTAACTCTCATGTTAAAAATGCCAACTTTACAGCAGAAATGTTTACAGCCTGGTTCAAATTTTTTTAGGTTTAATAAGTGACGTTTACGTCATGTCAATAGGGAGCCTAATAAAGCCGGGTGTACACTGTGCGACTTTTTCACTTTTTTGAGCCGATTTTCCACTCGTGCGAGAATCCATGACATCGGGGCGAGTTTTGCGCCGAGCGGTCATGAAGTATACAGGGGGTTACGAGAGGCAATTAACACCACATGATCAGCTACCGATCAGCAATCGTGAGCTTGCACGGACTTTTGGCGTGTTTAATAATTTGCTCGTCCCTCGTGAGGGTATCATATGGCAAGCCAAAACCGTCACAATACGCCACTTTCCCAACCCGTCTAGTTAAGAAATGGCGAAAAAAACGCCGTTTGATGTGCCAAGACGTCGTAAAATACGGCGAAAACTCTGCCAGAACGCCGTAATTTACGCCGTTCTGAACGGTCCCGTAGAACGCCCGTAAAATACGCCGTTTTTTCCGGACATTGAACGCCGTTTTTTACGTCACCCTAATCCCAGACGCGTTCTCTGTGTGGGTGGCGTAAAATACGGCGTTTGGTACGGACATTGAACGCCGCTTTTTTCGCCGTTCTGTGACATAAAACGCCGCTTTTAACGCCACTTTGTGACAGTTTTAACGCGTTTAAAATTCAACTTTACTCTCATTTATGCAGAGCCCTCCCCATGGGTTTCTCATCCACTTAATTTAAACTCCAGTGACCCAATGAAAGACGAGGAGGTTGAGGCAGCACTAATTCATCCCAGATTCGCCGGGCTGTCGGGCTGTGCGGATTGCTGTTTTCTAATACAACTCGGCTCTGTTTCAACTAATTTCACTGTATTGAAAAAGCCTTGAAATGTAGTAATATTATCAACAATGTGTCAACATTATTATTTTTTCTGTCCACCTGTAAAAGGCAGAAACGCTGTTTCAGTCAGACCTGATGATTACTTAAAAGTGTGGCTGCCGTATCAGTCTGTCCTCGTGGCTCGTGAGTCCAGCTGAAACATCAGTGCTCTTTCTGTCCAAAACTCCATTCTTCTTAAGTTAATCCACTTTCAGTATTTACTATTGTGACTGTGTGTGTGTGTGTGTGTGTGTGTGTGTGTGTGTGTGTGTGTGTGTGTGTGTGTGTGTGTGTGTGTGTGTGTGTGTGTGTGTGTGTGTGTGTGTGTGTGTGTGTGTGCTGTCGCAACGTCCCGTTTGATCATGCGCCCTGGCTACTTGGTCAAGGGGATGTTCCTGTGGCTGACTGGTTAGAGCGTATGACTCTCACCCGGGAGTCTGGGGATCGAATCCCGCCCGAGTCCTCGTTTATCCACCTGGCCACACTATTGTTTTTTTTTGTTTTTTGTTTTTTTTTAAACGACTGTTATACTTGTCTTACAGGAGCTTCTGAAGATGTTCTGTCTTGCTTCTCCATCATCACTCTCCAGCTCCTCAGACCAGTCACTCCAGAACCTTCCCAGATCCAGGATCAGAGCACTTTAATTAAAGTTTGAAACATGTCTGCTTGTTGTTCTCCTATGCCTTAAACTAGAATTTGCTAATGAGCTTTCTTGGCTATATGCTCTTAAATGTTTTTATTTACATAATCAAGAAACACGTTTTTCATTGCTGCTTCACCAAGACATGACTCTGAGAATGTCCTCATGATCCTGAAACGCTGGTTAAAACAAATTACTTTTAACCTCTTATAAAACAAACGTGCCTGTTGATGATTATGCCACTATACTGAAGCACCTGCATACTTGCTACCGATTTGCTAACTTTCTGTAATATTTGATATTTAAGTTGAAAACATGAAATGCTGTAACACAAATTCCAAATGTTCTAGTTGAGCGCTTGTTTCTACTCAACTAATCATTATTTCTGTGATTAGTCAGCTTTTTCCTTTTCAATAAACACATGGAAAAATTACAATTATCTTACTGAAAAATGGTTTAACAGTGTTGCACATGTATAATAATCTGCACTGGTTTTCACAGTTACGGCATTCTTCAAACTATAATAATAAAATAAAGTGAAAAGATATTTACAATTGATTACTTCCTACTATTTACATTTTATGCATCGATACTGTAAATGGCTGTTTACTAAGGCATACAAAGTCAGTGCCTGTACACAGGTAGTTTGCTTGTAAATCTACATATTTCTGTTCTATATGATCCTGTATTCTTCATTAATGCTACTTACAAATCCACGAGTCTGTAGAATTGCCTTGTTTATTTGAGCAGGTATT